CATGCAGCACAGGATTCAGATAACATCACACATGCAGTACAGGATTCAGACATCACACATGCAGTACAGGATTCAGACATCTCTCACATGCAGTACAGGATTCAGACATCACACATGCAGTACAGGATTCAGACATCACACTTGTTGTAAAGGATTCAGATAACACAACACATGCAGTACAGGATTCAGACATCTCTCACATGCAGTACAGGATTCAGACATCACACATGCAGTACAGGATTCAGACATCACACTTGTAGTACAGGATTCAGACATCACACATGCAGTACAGGATTCAGACATCACACATGCAGTACAGGATTCAGACATCACACATGCAGTACAGGATTCAGAAAACCTCACATGCAGTACAGGATTCAGACATCACACATGAAGTACAGGATTCAGACATCACACATGCAGTACAGGATTCAGATAACATCACACATGCAGTACAGGATTCAGACATCACACATGCAGTACAGGATTCAGATAACATCACACACGCAGTACAGGATTCAGACATCACACATGCAGTACAGGATTCAGACATCACACATGCATTACAGGATTCAGATAACATCACACATGCAGTACAGGATTCAGATAACATCACACACGCAATACAGGATTCAGACATCACACATGCAGTACAGGATTCAGACAACATAACATGCATTACAAGTACAGTTTCTCTCTGGCTTTATTATTTCATGCGTCTTAAAGGGTAAATGCTAAGCAACCTCTTTCCCATATCCAGCTGTGTGGAGTTGTTAAATTTATTCAAATACTCAGAAAAAAAAGACTTTGGCCCAGGATGACCCTAACAATAATACTATTCAATGTTTAGTATTTGGGAGATAAATGTAGAAATCAAAATGGAGGCACAAAGCCTTTACTTGTTTGATGGAAGATAATATTTTGTATCTCTTTTGTAAACGTGCTGGGCCAACTGGACTCCGCAGTTGGTTATACAATGACGGATCCTTGATCATTGGGGAGATAGGAGTGTTCACTACTGCAACGCCAATGCTGGTCTGTGTACAGGGTGACGTAGGTGCACATTGATGTTGCCTGTGACTCCTCCCATGTTGGAGTGTACACTGGGGACAGGTGCTTGCAAGAGTGGATGTGATGCTTAGAGGTTGTGGCAGGTTTGAACCATCCACACCATTGTAAAGTTTACAACGACTGTGATTGGCCAAACCCTAACTTGTAGATTCATCTAGACTATTGCTGTCTTCTGTTGTCATAGACACATCATGTTGTAATAAAGATTTTACAGCTTTCATTATCAGCTTATATTTCATGTCACACGAGTGAATGAGGTTTTTTTACCTCGCTTTTAACAACATTCCAGCAATATCCTGGTGGGGGCACCAGAAAATGACTGTACCCATACACACATTGTACCCATGCAGGGAATCAGACTCAGATGGCAAGAGGATGCTTTTACCACTAAGCTATCCCATGTCACGTTGAGGATGGGCTGTAAAGTTGGGTGTCCTCCAAGTTCTTGGATGTAGAAGTTGTCCATGCACACTAGTGGTGTTCCGATTAATTGAAATAATCGAAGATTGGTTGCAGTGACCAGACGACCAAGCAATGGATCACATTTTCTCATAATCGAACACAAACGATTTTGGAACTGCTGTTTTAGTCTTTGAAACAGTTGACGATGGAACATATCTTCGAAGTTGTCGGGATCTGCAAACTTGTTTAATTCTTAGAAAACTCACTTCACTAACTGAAAAGTCATGACTGAATATTTCTTGAAGACTCCAGGAAGTTTATGGTCATATATATTAGTCATCACTTTAAAGTAGCAAGTTGCATCACCTTATACCTATCTGCAATAACAACCTGGATAGGAAACTCTGAAAAATAATGCTAACCAATTTTTTCGATGATTGTTCGTTGGTAATGAAGCAATCATCAATTGTGAGATTTCAACCAATTCCCAACACTAATGCACACGGGTTAGACAGTATCACAGAAAGCACTTTGTCTTCAACTCCTTTCCTGTAGTGTTACCAAATACAGGAAAGAACCATATCGTTGACACAAGATGTCGTGATATCTTTAATATTTACAGGATTCTGACAATATCAATTATGTATGGTACTGGATTCAGACATTAACTATGTATACTACAGGATTCAGAAAACCTCACATGCAGTACAGGATTTAGACATCACACATGCAGTACAGGATTCAGAAAACCTCACATTCAGTACCTCACATGCAGTACAGGATTCAGAAACTCACATGCAGTACAGGATTCAGACATCACACATGCAGTACAGGATTCAGACATCTCACACGCAGTACAGGATTCAGACATCACATGCAGTACAGGATTCAGACATCTCACACGCAGTACAGGATTTAGACATCACACATGCAGTACAGGGTTCAGACATCACACATGCAGTACAGGATTCAGACATCTCACACGCAGTACCGGAATTAGACATCACACATGCAGTACAGGATTTTGCAGCGTAAAGTCCAGTGCTGGATAAGTGTCCAGTTATTATTACATGCAGTACAGCATTTTGCAGCGTAAAGTCCAGTGCTGGATAAGTGTCCAGTTATTATTACCGCATTTCCTCTAGAAAGTGCCAGGGTGCTTATTAATTCAGCAAACTCTCAGACCCGGCACTTAATAGGGGCCGGCACTTATTGCAGACCCGGTGCTTAAAGTTACAACGGAAACATGTATAGATTCTCTATTAGTAATTCATTTGAAAACTCCATTGTAAACATGAGGCACACTCAGCGCTTTTTTCTTGAACAGTTGCATTGTATTTCCGGCGCTTATTGGAGGAAATACGGTATGTCATGCACGTTGCCGCCATGTTTTATTTAATCCCTTAAAATGAAAGGTTGTAAATCCAATCTGCCACTGGGCGATACCAGCAAATATAGACAGGCGACACCATTTATTTTATCGCTTTTACCAACAGAAACTGTAACTGTTAATCAATCGCCATCTGGAACCACCACCTGTTGCAATGCATGCAGCTGGATATAGAGAATACTACACGAGGTCTCATTACATACGAATTATACGAAACGAGTGTCCTTCCTATGGTATCTGACCGAGCGAAAGCGAGGTCAGATAACATAGGAAGGTCACGAGTTTCGTATAATTCGTATGTAATGAGACCGAGTGTGGTATTTTATTTATTACCCACGTCTTACATGCATTTAAATTGACAAAATAGCGTATTTTTGTTATGTTTTTGGTTTCAAACCGAAACCGGTTTCATAAAGAGGTTGCGGAAGAGTTTTGTACTGTAGTACAATATTTGCATGACGTCACACTAATGACGTCACTTCCATGGTAACCGACGTCACGATGCATGTCATGTATTCTTTTCCAGACTCGATTATTTACAGACCGCCGCCATATATCTGTAATATTGCTTAGTGCGGCGTAAAAATGAACTCACTCACTTGCCACATCCTGCCTGTTTCCCCGAGCACGACACTGACACTATAATCCGTTTGACTTCATTTTGGACCGATGAATTGCTCACTAACACAAAATCTAATAACTGCAACAAAACCAAATTTTACACAGTCACATGAAATCGACAGACCAACTCTGATGATTTGTCTCATAATTATTGACACCCGAATAAAAAAGTTGTTGAACAAACGATCATTATTTTGTTGTTACTTTTCGCTGTTCTTACGAGGGCGGACCAATTGCTGGTAGAACAGCCAGGTAATCAACAAGGGTGTGCAGTGCAATTTCAATTTCACACGTACAACTCGCACACCTGGCTGTTCTACTAGCAAATAATGATCGTTTGTTAAACAACTTTTTGTCCTGATATAGATATACTATTCACACTTTGCTAAGGATCAAATCGTGGATTCAACAGAAAACTATGATGTTGGGTCAAATTGGTATTAAATATCTAAGCTTATTGTAAGCATGGACCCTAGGTTTTCAGTGTGTCATTTCATCTTGTGGATCCCATACCTGTTATTGACAGGTGTTGTTTACTTGTCAATGACTCGTTCCATGATTTGCAAAATGGTTGATTGGTGCCATGAACACCATTTTATGGTTACTCATGTATCAAGTGCATAAGGTTATTTAAAGTGACTGTTTGCCTAACAAGAGGGGTTACCATATTATTATTTATCCAGTTTTAAATGGATACAATTTCAAATTATGAATCTACGTTTAAGTAAAGTTGTGAATTTTTGTGATCCTTAGCAAAGTGTGAGTAGTATATTTTAATAGTAACAGGAACATCTGACTGAGATTTGCCGTCAAACGTCAGATGACGAAACACTTTATTAGATGATTGGCCAAAGTTCGCATTCTGTCCATCACGTCATTCACCATGAAAAGTCAAAGGCATTAAAATATGGTGGATCCACCTTTGTGCTCTAGACAATCCTGGATTCGACGAGCTATAGCCGTATCAAACGTCTACTGTCAATTCGGTTCATTTTATCCCATTCTTCATACAGGGCAACGCCAAGTTCCTTTAAGGTGTTCAAGACAGATTCCGGATCGTAAGGACCAAGTTAGTTTGTTATACAGAGTCTGTTATTGTCACAATTAGAGAAGACAGCGTTAAACATTTAGAATTATCAATTACTGGTAGGGAAAAACGGCAGTACTTCGAACATATCTGTCCAAACCTGACAGCATCGGGCGACTGAAGGTGGTTCGTAATTGCCAGCACCTTCCTTCATGACGTTGAGAAAGCGTACGTTAAATGTCATAGAATTCGTGGGGTGGATTCGATAGGACTTGTGTCACAATTTTGAGCCTGTGCAAACGTTTCATATTGTGCGTGGTTTCACATACCCGTGAAGATTCGGGTTAGATCTTCAGTAACCCATGCTTACGGGATCGGGTAGTCCGGCTCGCTTACTTGGTTGACACATATCCCAGTTGCGTAGATCGACAGACTTACCCTACGTTACAGGAAATACGGTAGTATAAGAAAAACGGAATAAGAAACGTAAACATGTTATGTATTTTATTGTAAGTTTGTTTATTGCATAGATGCTTACGATACAGTCGCCATAATTTCGGGTAACAGCGATCACATTCATAGGTGTCTGTGAACATCACGTTAGAGGTCTCGGGGCAACACTGACGACCTTGCCTGACCTCACAGACTCCTCACACAGCTTTACGAGCTCCAGACTCTGCATGCACTCCTCCGCCGACACCATGCACTCCTCACGCCCTGCAGCATCGACAATATTAGTGAGTGAGTTTCAGTTCGAAGCCGCTAAGCCGCTTTGAACAGTGAAGGGTTATAGAGATGGGCGACGGGGTGGCCTAGTGGTTAAAGCGATCGCTCGTCACGCCAAAGACCCGGGTTCGATTCCCAACATGGGTACAATGTGGGAAGCCCATTTCTGGTGTCCCCCGAGGTGATATTTCTGGAATATTGCTAAAAGCGGCGTAAAACCATGCTCATTCACTCACCGTGAACAACATCGATGAAGTGCCGTACAATCCTGGTATAGCTTGAGCTCCACCGCTCGATGAAAGACTCCATCAAGTCAACAGCCAAACTGCCATTTGTATCCCAAGTCTCTACTTCCGACTTCCTGTAGTTTTTGGACATTGCCATCTTTTTTGAACCCAGAACCTAACACAGTAATACACACATTTGTCAGGGTTTGAAACTCTCAAAAATTTCAGCCAAACCACAGGGCTGGTTAGATGTAAAAATTGCCAGCCCAAACCAAACCTTACCAGCCCAGACCAAAACGTACCTGCCCAGACCAAAACTTACCTGCCCAGACCAAAACTTACCAGCCCAGACCAAAACTTACCTGCCCAGACCAAAACATACCTGCTCAGACCAAAACATACCTGCTCAGACCAAAACATACCTGCTCAGACCAAAACTTACCTGCCCAGACCAAAACTTACCTGCCCAGACCAAAACTTACCTGTCCACAAAATATCTTCATATATCGGTGCATGTTTCAAGTTAAACCCGACCGTCGGGCAGGTGAAGTTGAGAATCTGGCAGTCCGTGTTCAAAATAACCAGTCCCGGGCGGTCGGACAGGCAGGTGTTTCGAACGCTACATTTGTTCACGCCTAGATACTAGGGTCGGGACGGGTAACCCGTTTACCCAGGACGGGTGAGTAAACAGTTGGACCCGGGTACCCTTCACACTAACCGGACCCCCTTTGATAACCTGACTAATACTGAATTAATTTGACTTTGTGCCTGATGCGACGGATTCAAAATATTTCCAGACGCCACTGTTAATCTCGGCCATGGCTGATTTTGTTGGAGGGGAATAACTCGCAATTAATGTTATACTGGGTAATAGAGGGTCGGGTACCCGGGAAGGAAATTTTGACCCGTCTAAGTCCGACTAGATACACAACATTTCAGAACTTTATGACCAGGGCTCCTTTCACGAAGCAACCTTTACTAAGGTTAAACTTAACTCCCATTCTCTAAAACCGCCTCCGTGGTGTAGTGGTTAGAGCGTCCTCCCGGAGAGCGGAAGGTCGCGGGTTCGATCCCCGACCGCGTCATACCAAAAGACGTTAAAATATGGTACTTTTTGGTCCCTGCCTGGCGCTCGGCATTAATGGGTACAACAAGGACTGGTCGGCTCGGAGTCAGTATAATGTGTCTGAGTGGGGTATCCATGCTTCACTGCGGCATGGTATCTCAGTGGGCTAGCACTATAAAACCAGCTTCAGTCTGGGCTAGTACAAGCAGCCGCACATACACACACACGCATGCATGCACGAAGTATTCTCAAGCACGACGTTAAATCCAATTTCACCTCACCTCACCTCACCCATTCTCTAACATTGCACTAAGGTTACCTTAGTGACTTACGATCACCTTAGAGCTTTGTGAAAGGAGGCCCAGGTGTATACTTTACTAGGGGCTGGAATTTACTTAACATGGAACAATATATATACTGTACCAGGAATCTAGTACTTCTGTTTGTTTGTTTGTTACTTAACGCCGCACCCTCCAATATTACAGTTATATGGCGGCGGTCGGTAATTAACTGAGTCTGGACCAGACAATCCAGTGATCAACATCATGAGCATCGATCCACGCAATTGGGATACGATGACATGCATCAATCAAGTCAGCGAACCTGATCTCCCGATCCCGTTAGTCGCCTTTTACGACAAGCATGGGTTGCTGAAAGACCCATTCTGACCCAGATCTTCACGGGTTGGTACTTACTACACATAGAATCTGGTATTAACTGTAGTCTGCACCTAGTATTTACTGTAATTTGCACCTAGCATTTACTGTAGTTTGCACCTGGTATTTACTGTAGTTTGCCCCTGGTATTTACTGTAGTTTGCACCTGGTATTTACTGTAGTTTGCACCTAGTATTTACTGTAGTTTGCACCTAGTTTTACTGTAGTTTGCACCTAGTATTTACTAGGGCTGCGCAATATAACCGGTTTACCGGTATTTACCGGTTCAGACATGAAACCGATACGTATTGCGATACGCTGTTCGAAAACAGGTATTTTGACATGCATTCGGAAAGCTTCGTAACACTTGGAATCTTCGTATATTTCCGTTTTATAAATTGTTCCTTTCCTTTTTTTATTTGTGCCAAGTATTATTTACATTTTTATTTTGTCATGATTAAAAGTTTTTATTAAAGCTTAATCAATCATGGTGATTTTGTTGTGTTTTTGCTTTATAATCAAGCATTAACTCGATTATAAATAGTTTTTTGTTAAAAAAATAATTCTTGCAATATATTGCAATACATAGCGCAATATATGCTTCCGCATCGCAATATATCGCAATATGAAAAGTCTCTGCAATACCCACCCCTAGTATTTACTGTAGTCTGCACCTAGTACTTACTGTAGTTTGCACCTAGTATTTACTGTAGTTTGCACCTAGTATTTACGTAGTCTGCACCTAGTATTTACTGTAGTTTGCACTTCGTATTTACTGTAGTTTGCACCTAGTATTTACTGTAGTTTGCACCTAGTATTTACTGTAGTTTGCACCTAGTACCTAGTACTTACTGTAGTTTGCACCTAGTATTTACTGTAGTTTGCACCTAGTATTTACTGTCCCGGCACCTGGTTTTACTCTACTCTGCACCAGGTTTTCACGGGACCCGGCACCTGGTTTTACTGTACCAGGCACCTGGTATTTATTGTACCCGGCACCTGGTATTGACTGTTCCTGGATGCTGGTATTTATTGTACCCGGCACCTGGTTTTTCTGTACCTGGCACCTGGTATTTATTGTACCCGGCACCTGGTATTTACTGTACCCGGCCCCTCTTATTTACTGTACACGGCACCTGGTACTTACTGTACCCGGGACCTGGTATTTACTGTACCAGGCACCTGGTTTTACTGTACCAGGCACCTGGTATTTACTGTACCTGAAAGTGTTGATCGTATCCGTATGTGACTTCCCGACCCGCCATCATGTTAGCCAGCACCCCGCTTGGGAAGGTGAGTACGATGTTGGTGATGTCATGGTCGCCACTGGCCTCGTAGTCGTCGGCGTACGTTGAGGTGTTGCTGCCACATACATACACCGACAGCGGCCTCTCCCCAACAAACCAGCACACGTAGTCCAGCATGTGAACACAACTGTCCACATATATGCCGCCTGTAGAGATATACAACATGTACCTGGTCATATCTATGCCGCCTGTAGAGATATACAAGAGGTGGTATCTGGTTATATATATATACAAATGGAACAAATCTGTTCTGAAATATACCTCCTTCCTCCGAATAAAAAGTGTCTTACGTGTATACAGTTACACACCCTATGTTTAGAAGGAACGGGTCGTATCTGTTCCCAAATATACCTCCTTTCTCAAAATAAATATAACGTGTCGTACCTGTTCTCTAATATATACTCTATGTTCAAAAAGAATATGTCGACATCTTTACAAATAAATCTCCTTTCTCGGAATATAGATGTCATACGTGTACACAATTGCATAAGCTAGGGTAGAAAAGAATATGTCGTACATCTTCACAAATATATCTCCTTTCTCAGAGTAGATGTCGTACGTGTACACAATTACATAACCTGTGGTCAAAAAGAATACGTCGTACATCTTCACAAATATATATATGTCCTTCCCTCCAATATAAATATGTCTTTCATGTATACAATTACACACCCTATGTTCAACGAGAATGTGTCGTACCTGTTAACAAATGTATCTCCTTTTACATAATAAAATGTGTCTTACATGTATACAATTAAATACCCTTTATAAATTATGTAATGTGTCGTAAATACACTCCTTTTGTCCAAATAGAATATGACATTCCTGTTTACTAATATATACCCTACGTTCAAATGGAACGTACCGTACTTGTTCACAAATAAACGCCTTTGTCCGAATAGAATATGTTGTACCTAATTACATGTACTAACATGTACCATAACTTCAAATAGAACATGTCGTACCTTTTTACTACTATATACCCTTTGTCCACATATAACGTGTCATACGTGTGTTGAGACCATTCTGCATTTAAGGTCACAACGTACGTGTTCCGCGTCAACCACAAGGCTACCCAACCGCCCTTAAGCATTAAGGACTGTATTTAGGCACGAATGTTAATTTGTGGGGGTATTGTACATTGCTTGGACTCAAGAGTATGAATTTATTTTGAAAAGTCACTGGCCAGGAGGGCTAAGTGACAACGTTGCTAGCCCACATCATACTTCATCTGCGGACGGACTTTTAACACCTTAGTAATTGACTTCATCGTATTCATGTGCATTAAATAAAGAACAAATTATCTGAGATTTGCAGCTAGCCAGTCGGGATAGTTTTAACAAGATATTACTAGCCCGATTCACAATCAGATAGCATTTGGCTAGCGGGCCAGTATAGCTATTTCCAACGCTGCAGTTGGACTTATTTCGGGGCGGTGGGGTAGCCAAGAAGCCAAAGCATTAGCCCGTCACATTGGCACATGGGCGCAATTTGTGAAGACGTTTTCTGGTGTTCCCCGCCGCCATATTGATCTAATATTGCTAAAACTGGCGGAGAACCTTACCCAACCATCACATTTTTAATTTCAGTTCGTTTTCTGTTTGCATGTGTTGCTCTCGCAAAAAGCTGAAGTTGAAATGTGACAGACCTGTGCCAACGACAACTATAATCTCCTGTCTTGAAACTTGTGATGGAATGGTTGGTTGGCGTGTCATGGTGACAGTGACCTGGTTGTTTAGTCATTGAGAATCTGACTCATGTTAGTCGGTTTGTGATCTGCTGACTTTCTCTGGTTGAGTGAATAGCTATGGTTTTGTTTATATCGATGTATTGATGCTCTTCACATGGAACATGCAATCATGAGTGTAATGTGTATACAGTACGTCTGGATATCTGTCGAGCCATACATACTGTCACGTACACACACTGACAAAAACAGTAGAATATGTATATTTAGAGTGTTTTGAAAAGTCTGTTTATCTATCTTATATTTGTAGATAGAAATAGATAGGTATAGATAGACAGAGACTAAATGCTAGAGATAGAAAAGATAGATAGAAAGATATAGATTGAAAGATGGAGACAGATAGAAACAGAAATAGATAGAAAGATAGATGGAGATAGAACAATAGAGTTAGAACGATATAGATGTTTATATCTATCTTATATTCATAGATAGATTGAAATGGCTATTAACATATGATATAGATAGATACAGATATAATTATAGACAGATAGAGATATAGAAAAATAGAGATAGAAACAGATAGAAAGATGGATATAGATAGAACAATAGAGATAGAAACAGATAGAAAGATGGATATAGATAGAACAATAGAGATAGAAACAGATAGAAAGATGGATATAGATAGAATAGAGATAGAAACAGATAGAAAGATGGATATAGATAGAACAATAGAGATAGAAACAGATAGAAAGATGGATATAGATAGAACATTAGAGATAGAAACAGATAGAAAGATGGATATAGAGAGAACAATAGAGATAGAAACAGATAGAAAGATGGATATAGATAGAACAATAGAGATAGAAACAGATAGAAAGATGGATATAGATAGAACAATAGAGATAGACGGATAGAGATATGAATATAGAAATAAAGGTAGGAAAGGACAGAGATAGGAATAGATAGATATAGGTAGGTAGGTATATGTATAGGTAGGTATTGGTAGGTAGGTATATGTTTAGGTAGGGATTGGTAGGTAGGTATATGCATAGGTAGGTATTGGTAGGTAGGTATATGTATAGGCAGGCATTGGTAGGTAGGTATATGTATAGGTAGGTATTGGTAGGTAGGTATATGTATAGGTAGGTATTGGTAGGTATATGTATAGGTAGGTATTGGTAGGTAGGTATATGTATAGGTAGGTATTGGTAGGTAGGTATATGTATAGGTAGGTATTGGTAGGTAGGTATATGTATAGGTAGGTATTGGTAGGTACATATATGCATAGGTAGGTAGACCCTTGGTTGTAGGTCTGAATATGACCAGCGTTTGATCACTACAACAAAGGTATTAAGACCACTGGGGAAAAAATATCTGAATGTACAATAGATAATAGAGTCCCTGATTCGAAGACACAAATACTTGCTCAGTATTCCTGGAGCAATGTTATGTTGTATCATCCTATGCTCTGATAACGCATGATAGCCAAGGACAGAGGCGATAACCTATCTTAATCTACCTGTCATGTCAGGGACAGGCATTCCGATGTTGTTCAAAGATCAACATGGGCGCACAATAGTCAGGATGATCTGAGCCACTGATGAACTCCTCGATTACTAAGTTGAAGTGACTACCGACATGGTGCCAAATCAGTTGTACAATCAAGACATACAAACATATCAGCAGTGTAGTGATTTGATTGCAAACTGCAGCCTGAGGATTCAGTGGTTGTCAAGGACCTTGATCAAGAAAATGTCCCACTAGGAGACTTTCGTAGCGTTGCTTGATATGCAAACAACAAATGATAATTACGACAAGCACGGGCTGCTCAATTCTAACATGGATCGTCACGGAATAGAAGTGATTAAAACAGTTAATCAACTTGACGTAGAAATGACTGCAGCTTTCAGAACAATCGCATGACAAACAAGTAGTATACACAATGGGGGTACGGAACCAGGTCCTCCCAAGGGGTCATTTTTTTCAGAATTTCGAACATCAGTTTTTTGCTTGAATTTTGCTTGAATTTTGCTTAAATTCTAGCAAAGTTCTAGCAAAAAACCGATGTTAAAAATCCTCAAATCACTATCTCATCCATGAATAAATTAACTGCCCTGTTTGTACTATACAGCAAAACAGAGAAAAAGGGACTCGATATTGGTCCTTACATACATATGCATATAATTAAAAGCTTGGAAGATGGAAGTTACTGATCATAATGATCAAATATCAATTTCGAATGATGTTCAAACCCTTGTAATGAATAAACATAATGAAGAAACGAGCTGAGGGATATAATTAAAAAACACAATGTTCGTTCAATTTAAGTAAAATATTGTGCAATCATTTACTGGCTTCAAGTTAGAAGAAAATACAAAAATAGAATCGAATGAAGTACTAAAATTTAGAGAAACCAATGTCAATAAAGCGACAATACCCTTTCCACATACATAATAAACCCCACTCAGTGTAGAGACCATAGCATGAATTGAATTATTATTTCATGAGCTTGCGTTGAATCACTCTCACACAAACTTCAGAACGATGAACTCACAAAGGTTTCTGATGGGCTGTAGATAGTGGATCAGTATTATGGTTAGACACAGCAACATATACGCCATTACATGACGGATCCTTCCCAGATTTACCATAATCAGAAGGAAACAAGCCACAATTAATGTTTAGAACGAGGATGGTGAGTCTTCGAGATGGGCATTGATACTTGTTCAGTTTCCAGCTTATCAGACATGCTGATAGACGTTCCAGCCATTCCACAGGTAATGAGCGTAATCTTAAAGGCATCGATGTTCTGCCACCTTTCTCAAAGTTGTAAAAGTTGAAGGAGAATACAACCAGACTTTCAATGTATCTGGAACTTCTAAGGGAAGCAAAGGAAGTGATACATGCATAGGATAACGTCTCCCTCGGAACATATCCAGAGCATATATCTGTTCCTGTTAAGAGTGATAACAGATATTACAACAAGGAGCCCTTCGCGAAGCAATTCCTTGGTTGCGCCGCCTTTCAGGTGTTATAAGATTGGTTACCCCCATTTTATAATGATCCATCTTTTAAATGCATCTTGAGAGGCCATATTGGATCAGTTCAATGATTTGACCTCCATCGAGTTCATCTGGTTGACATAGATATCTGGCACTTACACGAGCAGGAAGTGTTCCTTTTCGTGATGAGGATGTACTGCTCATTCAGAAGATGCAGATTTCATTTTGTTATCATGGTTTCTTTCCAGTCATTCCAGTAACTTCATTATATAAGCTGATATTACAGGTAAAGGTCATCCAAACAAGCACGCTGCAAGTGCGTGATTAAATCACACATAATAATGACACATAATGTAACTGTAGAGCACCGAATATCCATCTCAAAGATGCTGCCTGTGAGGTGTCAGAAGGTTAACAGTCCAGTCATGTGACCATCTTAGCCCACCGGGCACCCATTCACTGTTGGGTGAACAGAAGCAGTTTTGAATAAAATCACTTGGCTTTGGTGTGACCACATGTGTCATGTGTGCATCGTTGTGGGGAATGACAGAAATCCGAGAAACTCTCAGGAGTCAAGCTGCCAAACACAGTCACTCATCCAAGACTCTGTGACCAACGTTCCTTAACTTCAATTGTTTTGTTACCCAGGCACTATGCGCAAGACCACATGCAACACCAACTAATACGTGACACGGGCTTCTCTTTCTACTCGTCATATTATTACATCATACCTGTTTTTATTCAGTCAATGATAAAATATATGTTTATAATAATTTTGGTCATTATAATTGTCCATTTTAATACGACTCAAGGCTCTGAACAACTTTGTTGTTAATTGTTCAGAGTCTTTGTACCAGCCAGCTGCACGAACACCTGTTTAAGCAAACCTATAGATTTTGCGTCTTCCCTTGCCATGTATGGCTCTGATACCTCTCCAGGGTCATTTGAAAGGACTAGTCAATAGAAATCAAGAGTTTGAGAACCAATTTCTGTTATTCCTTCACACATTAAATAACACATTAACGAACCTACGTTAGATTTTATGGAAAAACTAAGATATTCTTGGCAGCTTCAATGATGCCTGGACCTGAACCAACATCTTGGACCAGAACACTCATTCCCTAATGGTCTATTGATACGAAAAGTTGGAAGAGATAAAAAGTAAAGATTTGTTCAACTTTATATTTAGTTAGGTTTACAGGTTGTTGTTTTATAATATTGATTTGTTGTGTAAACTGTGATTTCAGCTGTCAGCATCTTTTCGAAAATTTAAAAATAAGTTATCTTATTTCATTACAAGAATACTTATGGTCTTAGTAAATCACTATTTCCCCTGAGTGACATCTTGCAAGAGTCATGTTTGTGACCAACGGCTCTTTTAGAAACATACTTGTCTGTCATTGATTTGTACCTGCTGCACAGTTAACATAACCTCCAGTAAGTGTATTACCATTAGCTTACGACGGAACTCTGTTGTGGCTAAATTCACCTTCAGAATGACAGTGGAGGCACATACCTTTGATCTGTATGTGTGATTTGTGAACATTCTGTAAAGTGACATATTCCAGTACACCCGAATGTGGTGTATTCATAACACGTATGATATTTGTCCTTATGTATTGCTGTAATGATGTTAATGTATTGCAATGATGATCTATTGCATTAGTATGTGCTGTTGCTGATCGTTTGGGAATCAGTATTGGAACTTGAGAGTAACTTTAAAGTATATGTGTATATGACAGGAAGGGTAGCGGAGAGTGGCTTGAAACGAAGTGAGCTAGAAGGACTATTTGTTAATGTTCGGGTACATCTTTCAGCTGACATATTGATGATCGGTTCCAATCCGACTTTGTTTTCACTCAGTTTTTTGTTAACTTGGACATGCGCAGTGGCATGTTATACGTACCAGATGTTTTGATGTAGCTGAGCGGGACGTGTTTGTCCAGGCTGAACACAGTGACGCTTCGAAGACGGCCGAGTTCGCCATCTTCCTTCATCTTGTGGATCCGGCTGAGGTCAGGGTCAAATCGCCTTACGAGAAACATAGGGTCCAGAATGGTTTTATCCCAAAACTTCCACAGCAAAGGTATGTAATTTTGTAAATAAACCTGACTTAATAATCTATAATTTATTACTAAGTGATTGTTTGTCTTCGTTACTGATTTATGGATTAAACCATTACAGATTCAGGTAATCAGTATGCTAAAGTGTGTGCAGTCAACCAGAAATGTTGTTGTTATAAGCTGTGGAAGTTTTGGGATGTGGAAGTTTTGGGAGGATACCGTCCAGAATCAGTGTTAAGATTCGGATCAGTGGATGGAATTGCCTGTTTAGCACTGACGGGACGATGTAACAGTGACGCAACATTCTGATGTGTGTATCGTGCAAAATGAAGTAAACATTCTTTGTTGTCCATAATAATCGACATTACACATAAGCACGCATTCTGAATATTGTGAAACTTTTCAGTCTGATCAATAAAAATAGGAGCAGGGTGAATACGGAAGTTTTACATTACAAATGTGAAAAACAGTTAGTGGTTACGTAACAGGAAGTTGTATGAAACTCCTCTACACTTCAGTTAAACATTGTATTATGTAAAGTAAACATTGCATCATGAAAATTTAACATGGTAATATCTAAATTATACATTGTAGTATGTAAATGAAACATTGTATTATGTAAATGAAACATTGTATCGTGTAAATTAAACATTGTTTTATGTAAATTAAACATTGTATTGTGTAAATTAACATAGTGTCATGTAAATCAAACATTGTATTAGGTAAATTAAACAATGTATTATGTAATTGACACATGTATTCTTCACGAATACACATAACAGATGAAAAGACGATACTGATGTCCATCTCTACCTCAGTCTCTATCTATCTATCGATCGATCTATCTATCTATCTCTACTTCTGTCTATCATCCATCGTCTATCTATCTGTCTATCTATCGTTCTATCGTTCTATCGTCCATATGTATGGATGAAATGTGTCGCGCTAACGACTCACCTGTTGAAGGCACAGAGGAGATTCTTGCCGCCCTTCCTTGCAGCGTCATAGCAGGACCGAACGCCTTGCTCGGTCAGTGCCAAGGGCTTCTCGCAGAACACGTGCTTCCCTGCAGCAGAGCAGGACAATAGCCGCTTCATTACTCGCAAGGAATTCATTATACACATGAAAGAGTGTACAGATGTATGCAGACAGTAAACATAACACACACGTCCATGCACACATAACAATCCATTCAGTGACGGATACCTTTTGGGTGAGTGAGTGAGTGTAGTTTTACGCAAATTTTAGCAACATTCCAGCAATATCACGACGGGGACACCAGAAAATGGCCTTCACACATTATACCCATGTGTGGAACCGAACCCGATCTTCAGCGTGACGAGCAAACTCTTTAATCACTAGGCTACACCCACAAGATTATTACGCTTACGAAGCGACGTCAATGTACGCACGTATATGCATGTATGTATGTCTGTTCGTGGTGTGTGTGTATGTATATATGTGTGTGTATGTATATATGTGTGTGTATGTATATGTGTGTGCTTTGTGTGCGTCAACAGGCGTGTCTGTGGCTGTTTCTACTTGTCCACAACAGGAACAAGAACAAGTCAAAACATTGATTACACCACATTCTCGTTTCCTGCTGACTGGGTTCCGTCCTATTGCGCACCTTGGTACAATAACCTGTCCAGAGTTGTGAGACCAACTCATTCAACTGGATGTATAAATATTAATCAGTAGTATTTGAAACATCTAATCACTTGTATATTGCAACACCACGAGCCTTCTAATCTTTGCAAACACGCCATGCAGCAAGCCTCTGTCGTACAGCGTGCTCTGACAAACGGAAATCGTGGAAATCTCAAAAAACGAGGCTCGGCCGCTAGAAAAGTTTGACGGCCTGGTACGGACTTGATATTATATCAATCACACTGTACGTTACACAAATACACTTAATGAGCTCAGAAAACACATAACAGGTGTAACCAGTGAGACAGATGAATTGTGCATCATTGTACTAACTCTTCAAACAGGGGCAGTCTGTGATGTCCTAGTTAACGACATGCTGCCTAAACCTTGACATCAAATATAGAAATACGATTTTTCTAAACTTTAAACTTAAAATTAATTTGTAAATTTTCTTATGAGACAAGGAATTGGAATTCAGTGTAACCATAGTTGTTTGTATTGTCTCTTTTCATTTTCACACGAGAAAATTCGGATCGGCTGAAAAGTAGGTCATTGTCTAATTGGTTAATGAGACTCATGTTTCGCTTTGTACCACTGTTTAACGTCTTATGGTATGACGGAGCCGGGGTTCGAACCACCGACCTTCCGCTCTCCGGGCAGACGCTCTACGGAGGCGATCGAACCTGTAATAAAGGAAGCAGTGTAAGCTGGATCACTATAGTCTATGACCAGGGCCCCGTTTTACTATGATCATAGCGCTACGGTCATCGTAAGTCCCATACCTTATCATACACTTACGACAGTCGTAGAGCTACGATCGCTTTGTGAAATGGGTCTGTATGTTAATGATAATACGTCTAAAGATGATCCTCCGGAATAGATAATGAAAACGGATTTTGCTTTGAGGAGACATACCTGCCTGGAGAGCCTTCTGTGTTGGTTCTTCGTGAAATGGCGAGGGCGTGCATATGAAAACAGCATCTATGCTATAAGACAAAACAAATGTTATTTATGTGAAAAAATATAATATTTGTGTTGACCGTTGTTTAACAGAAATATTCCAGCTATATGGTGGCGATCTGTAAATAATCGAGTCTGGAACAGAACATTCAGTGATCAACAGCATGAGCATCGATCTATGCAATTGGGATATGATGACATGTGTCAATATATCTGATCCCGTTAGTCACCTCTTACGACAATCATGGGTTACTGAGGACCCATTCTAACCCGGATCTTCACGGGTCACACACACACACACACACACACACACACACACACACACACACACACACACACACACACACACACACACACACACACACACACACACACACACACACACACACACACACACACACACATACTACACATACGCAAAAGTACATTTTGTGAGTACGTTTGGATATTAGAATGATGCATGTTTGAATGATTGAAACTAATTTATTTAAACCATGAAAATAATGTATCTTGCCTGTAGCGTCTGATAATAATAGCTATTAATGGACAGTCAACATCAAAATGTTTTTCCCCAGGCACAACATTTGGCCTCATACAACAAAATCTTAATGTATGATAAATATTACCGCCATTCTTTGTTTCGTATTCGTTGGTTGGAAAGTGAACATGATGGGACTCTTATTAACACAGGGTACGTACTATGTTCTAGTGAGAGTCCATGATTAATTTTGCCACATTTTGCTTGCTTTTGTGAGGGCGATAACGCGACAATGTCCCTTCCAGGATATCATACGATATAGCTAACAAATTGACATAAAACAACATTTCTTTCAAATTTCATTGAGAGCAACGGTGAACAACCTTACCAGGGATCCTTGTAAACAACGTCGGCCTCTTCTGTGCTCAACACCGTCGTCGTCTCTGCTAAACGATACTTCCTCACCAGGTGATGCAGGTCCCCTTGTGCCGCCGTGACGTCCACGAGGTAGCGGATGCAGACATCCTCTTGGTCCAGCAGGCTCCGAAGATGTACCTTGCCGATACGGCCAAGGCCAAACATGGCCACGTTGACAGTTCCACCATTACTATTCTGATATTCCTGAAGCGATACCGGAAGAGAAACCAAACCGTCAACGCCAAGATATTATGAGTCTGGACTTATTTGATTGGCATTCTAGAAGTTGGTGGTATGGAGATGACAAGACTTTATGGATGATCATCTTCTTCATTTTAAAAATTGCGACGTTTCGGTATAGCTTCTTATACCGTGTTCTAGTATATGTTGAAAACATATATGAAGCTATAGCGAAAAACGCCGTTGTGAAAATAAAGAAGTTGATAATCTATAAAGTTTTGTCATGTCGATTATCTGCCGAAACGGATTTAGCTGGGCGTCTGTGTGTGTCTGTAATGTCCGTGTTTGCGTCTCTGCGTGCTTGCGCGCGCTCGTGTGTGCGTCTAGCTCTGACATTGTCCATGTAAAGACATCATCATGTTCAGTCAAAACGCCGCGAGCGAACTTGGGGTGTTGACCTCATTACGCTCCTTCCTTTTGATACAGTGGTAATACCCAGCGATAATATAGACCTTGATGCCAGTTGTTTTTTTGCGTTACAAGCCCATGTGCTTAACCATATGCTTAACCACTTGTCAATTTATATTGCTGAAACAAAGCAACATTAAAGTATTACTCTCTCGCTTACCACTAGTAGTCTGACAGGTTCACAAACTCAATCGAGAACTCAAGCGTGTTCAGACTTATACTCAAAGGGCAAAAGTTCTAGTGACACCTTTAGAAACAACAAGCAGAATCAGTGTCAAAAGTTTACTACCGCGAATGAAATGTCATTAATTAGAAAGTGAGTGAGTGACTGACTTCAGTTCTAACGCCGCACTCAGCAATATTCCAGCTATATGGCAGCGGTCTGTAAATAATCGAGTCTGGACCATGCAGTCTCTGCTGCATACATTTTTTGTAATATGTAAAACATAATAATGGATATTTATGATGCGCCAGTTCCACGCACTTGAGCATGCTGACTGTGTGGCGCTAGAAGGTTAACAGATATATGATGTATCCTACCGGGTACCCATTTACTGTTTGGTGAACAGAGGCAATTCATGAACAAACTCACTTGCCTAAGGTGAGACCACATGTGCCACGAGTGCTTCGTTGTGGGTAGGACTAAAGTCCTAGAAACTTTCCAAGGACTTTTCGCGACAAACATTGCTTAACTTCAAGTGACTTGTGACCTGTGACCTGTGACCTGTGACCTGTGACCTGTGCTCTATGCAAAGTACAATACACCAGCATGGTAGTGTATTAGGATATTTCTAAATTTCTGACATTCGAAATTGATTTGGCGATATTCACGCCATGATACAAGAGTCGGTGCCCTAAACATGTCCCCCATAGAATACCTGTCATGTTCGACCTAGAAGACCTTATCCGTCTGTGTGTGCCCATTGTCCATTACGTTTAAGCGTGTGTTTGCTATCCCACCGTGTATATAGCAAACAGTGGTTATAAAGGTGCGAGAGCGTTGTCAGTGACACATCGCCCGAGAAAGAATAAATATATATTTTAACACTTTCTGAGTGAGTGAGTGAGTACGCCGATTTTAGCAATGTCATGGAGAGGGACACATGAAATGAGCTTCACATATTGTATCCATGTCGGGAATCAAACCCGGGTCTTCAGCGTGATGATCGAAAGCTTTAGCCACTTCTGCTACCCCACCGACCCCTCAACACTTTCTCAGGGTGCGTACCATACAGCATCACCGCCGTTACCTGCACCGGCTTCACTACTCTGTCGTAATATGATCAGAAGCTTTATCCGTATTTAATAAGATAATTATTTCTACAGTTACATACCATGTGAAGTTCACCACAATTGCATTAACATGTTTCATATCTATGTCTGCTTTTCAGCTACATATATGTACATGAGGTAATGGCTTTTTTATTATCATTATTATAGGATATTTATATAGCGCACAAAATCCAGGCACCTAGTGCATGCTCAAGGTGCTGGTATTTTGTCCATCGATCATTGGATGTCAATCTCAACGGCACATCGTATTATCAATCTCAACTCCCAGGGGAGTATACAGCTCTTGCAGCCACTAGGCGCACCGAGTTATTGTCGCTTTCTCATCCTAACGAGGTACCCATTCACAGCTGGGTGGACTGGGACACATAGTCACAGTACTTTGTCCAAGTTCACTGCACGTTGCTGTACCCGCAACTAGGTGTTTGCACGTATTCACGTGGCCACCATCTGGTCATATACCAACGGATTCGTGGGCTCTTTTAAGTGCACAGGGTTGTGTACTGTACACTAGGGGTTGTGACAATACTGAAAGAGTCTGCACACAAAGTTGACTCCAAGGTTTTTACACCCGCTCACAGGTGGGCTCGATCCCGACACCTCAACCTCTCTGGAACACTAGCCTGGCGCCTTAGCCAGCTCGCCCACCGCACCCCGTGCTTTACGCCGCATTTAGCAATATTCCAGCAATATCACGGCGGGGGACAACTGAAATCGGCATTACACATTGTACGCATGTGGGGAATCGAACCCTTGTCTTTGGCGTGGCGAGCGAACGCTTTAACCACTAGGCTACCCCACCGCCCCATTTACAAATGTAAGTGATCCGAGCATTTTATATATATATATTCATAGAGAAACTGCACCAGCTATACATATTTATGAGATAGTACAGCTTTTTACATTTGTTGTAATTACCTTGTTACAGTGTGACGTTAGAACATACGTAGGCATACTTAATGGGGTAAGTAAACAACCTCACACACAACAGCTGTTTGTAATATACATCATATTCATATACTATCCTAAAAGAGAAACGCATAGGCGTTTTGTGTGTTTTAAAATCTATCAATTACCTACTGTGCTCAAACAATCGTCAAAATATGTAACAAAAGTGTTGATAACATGATTTTCCACAATTGCACAAGATAAAAATCAACTTTGCCTAATAATGTTGATTTTGATGAGATTTCTAACAAGGGTTAAAAATGCATCGCCACAACGTAAAAACAACCACCTTTCAGTTGAAATTGTGCAGCAAAGAGCATGCACTGCCTGGCTATAAAAATCCAGATTACTTTCGGAAATCGGCATTCGGCATATACATTATATTCTTATACACCACAGATACAGGCAGATCCACTATCTAACCCAGACAAGGACAACCGTGTCCAGATATACATTATATTCTTATACACCACAGATACTGGCAGATCTACTATCCAACCGAGACAAGGACAACCGTGTCCAGATATACATTATATTCTTATACACCACAGATACTGGCAGATCTACTATCTAACCCAGACAAGGACAACCGTGACCAGATATACATAATATTCTTATATACCACAGATACTGGCAGATCTACTATCTAATCCAGACAAGGACAACCGTGTCCAGATATACATTATATTCTTATACACCACAGATACTGACAGATCCGCTATCTAACCCTGACAAGGACAACCGTGTCCAGATATACATTATATTCTTATACACCATAGATACTGACAGATCTACTATCTAACCCAGACAAGGACAACCGTGTCCAGATAAACATTATATTCTTATATACCACAGATACTGGCTTATCTACTATCTAACATAGACAAGGACAACCGTGTCCAGATATACATTATATTCTTATATTCCACAGATCCACTATCTAACCCAGACAAGGACAACCGTGTCCAGATATACATTATATTCTTATACAGATCCACCACGAGATCCACTAACTAACCCTGACAAGGACAACTGTGTCCAGATATACATTATATTCTTATATTCCACAGATCCACTATCTAACCCAGACAAGGACAACCGTGTCCAGATATACATTATATTCTTATATTCCACAGATCCACTATCTAACCCTGACAAGGACAACTGTGTCCAGATATACATTATATTCTTATATTTCACAGATCCACTATCTAACCCAGACAAGGACAACCGTGTCCAGATATACATATATATTCTTATATTCCACAGATCCACTATCTAACCCTGACAAGGACAACTGTGTCCAGATATACATTATATTCTTATATTCCACAGATCCACTATCTAACCCAGACAAGGACAACCGTGTCCAGATATACATTATATTCTTATATTCCACAGATCCACTATCTAACCCAGACAAGGACAACTGTGTCCAGATATACATTATATTCTTATATTCCACAGATCCACTATCTAACCTAGACAAGGACAACTGTGTCCAGATATACATTATATTCTTATATTCCACAGATACTGGCAGATCTACTATCTAACCCAGACAAGGAAAACCGTGTCCAGATATACATTATATTCTTATACACCACAGATACTGACAGATCTACTATCTAACCCAGACAAGGACAACTGTGTCCAGATATACATTATATTCTTATATACCACAGATCCACTATCTAACCCAGACAAGTACAACCGTGTCCAGATATACATTATATTCGTATATACCACAGATCCACTATCTAACCCAGACAAGGACAACCGTGTCAAGATATACATTATATTCTTATATACCACAGATACTGACAGATCTACTATCTAACCCAGACAAGGACAACCGTGTCCAGAAACACATTATATTCTTATTCACCACAGATACTGACAGATCTACTATCTAACCCAGACAAGGACAACCGTGTCCAGATATACATTATATTCTTATATACCACAGATACTGGCAGATCTACTATTTAACCCTGACAAGGACAACCGTGTCCAGATATACATTATATTCTTATACACCACAGATCCACTATCTAACGCAGACAAGGACAACCGTGTCCAGATATACATTATATTCTTATATACCACAGATCCACTATCTAACCCAGACAAGGACAACCGTGTCCAGATATACATTATATTCGTATATACCACAGATCCACTATCTAACCCAGACAAGGACAACCGTGTCCAAATAAACATTATATTCTTATATACCACAGATACTGGCAGATCTACTATCTATACATTAAACCGTGTCCAGATATACATTATATTCTTATACACCACAGATCTACTATCTAACCCAGACAAGGACAACCGTGTGTCAGATATACATTATATTCGTATATACCACAGATCCACTATCTAACCCAGACATGGACAACCGTGTCCAGATATACATTATATTCTTATATACCACAGATACTGGCAGATCTACTATCTAACCCAGACAAGGACAACCGTGTCCAGATATACATTATATTCTTATATACCACAGATACTGGTAGATCTACTATCTAACCCAGACAAGGACAACCGTGTCCAGATATACATTATATTCTTATATACCACAGATACTGGCAGATCTACTATCTAACCCAGACAAGGACAACTGTGTCCAGATATACATTATATTCTTATATTCCACAGATCCACTATCTAACCCTAGACAAGACAAGGACAACCGTGTCCAGATATACATTATATTCTTATATTCCACCACAGATACTGGCAGATCTACTATCTAACCCAGAGATCTAAGACAACTGTGTCCAGATATACATTATATTCTTATACACCACAGATACTGACAGATCTACTATCTAACCCAGACAAGGACAACTGTGTCCAGATATACATTATATTCGTATATACCACAGATCCACTATCTAACCCAGACAAGTACAACCGTGTCCAGATATACATTATATTCGTATATACCACAGATCCACTATCTAACCCAGACAAGGACAACCGTGTCCAGATATACATTATATTCTTATATACCACAGATACTGACAGATCTACTATCTAACCCAGACAAGGACAACCGTGTCCAAAAACACATTATATTCTTATTCACCACAGATACTGGCAGATCTACTATCTAACCCAGACAAGGACAACCGTGTCCAGATATACATTATATTCTTATATACCACAGATACTGGCAGATCCACTATCTAACCCAGACAAGGACAACCGTGTCCAGATATACATTATATTCTTATACACCACAGATCCACTATCTAACCCAGACAAGGACAACCGTGTCCAGATATACATTATATTCGTATATACCACAGATCCACTATCTAACCCAGACAAGGACAACCGTGTCCAGATATACATTATATTCTTATATACCACAGATCCACTATCTAACCCAGACAAGGACAACCGTGTCCAGATATACATTATATTCTTATATACCACAGATACTGGCAGATCTACTATCTAACCCAGACAAGGACAACCGTGTCCAGATATACATTATATTCTTATACACCACAGATCTACTATCTAACCCAGACAAGGACAACCGTGTCCAGATATACATTATATTCGTATATACCACAGATCCACTATCTAACCCAGACAAGGACAACCGTGTCCAGATATACATTATATTCGTATATACCACAGATCCACTATCTAACCCAGACAAGGACAACCGTGTCCAGATATACATTATATTCTTATATACCACAGATACTGGCAGATCTACTATCTAACCCAGACAAGGACAACCGTGTCCAGATATACATTATATTCTTATACACCACAGATCTACTATCTAACCCTGACAAGGACAACCGTGTTCAGATATACATTATATTTTTATATTCCACAGATCCACTATCTAACCTAGACAAGGACAACTGTGTCCAGATATACATTATATTCTTATACACCACAGATACTGACAGATCTACTATCTAACCCAGACATGGACAACCGTGTCCAGATATACATTATATTCGTATATACCACAGATACTGACAGATCTACTATCTAACCCAGACAAGGACAACCGTGTCCAGATATACATTATATTCTTATATACCACAGATACTGGCAGATCTACTATCTAACCCAGACAAGGACAACCGTGTCCAGATATACATTATATTCTTATATACCACAGATACTGACAGATCTACTATCTAACCCAGACAAGGACAACCGTGTCAAGATATACATTATATTTTTATATTCCACAGATCCACTATCTAACCTAGACAAGGACATCCGTGTCCAGATATACATTATATTCTTATACACCACAGACACTGGCAGATCTACTATCTAACCCAGACAAGGACAACTGTGTCCAGATATACATTATATTCTTATACACCACAGATACTGACAGATCTACTATCTAACTTATATACCAGACAAGGACAACTGTGTCCAGATATACATTATATTCGTATATACCACAGATCCACTATCTAACCCAGACAAGGACAACCGTGTCCAAAAACACATTATATTCTTATTCACCACAGATACTGGCAGATCTACTATCTAACCCAGACAAGGACAACCGTGTCCAGATATACATTATATTCTTATATACCACAGATACTGGCAGATCCACTATCTAACCCAGACAAGGACAACCGTGTCCAGATATACATTATATTATATTCTTATACACCACAGATCCACTATCTAACCCAGACAAGGACAACCGTGTCCAGATATACATTATATTCGTATATACCACAGATCCACTATCTAACCCAGACAAGGACAACCGTGTCAAGATATACATTATATTCGTATATACGACAGATCCACTATCTAACCCAGACAAGGACAACCGTGTCCAGATATACATTATATTCTTATATACCACAGATACTGGCAGATCTACTATCTAACCCAGACAAGGACAACCGTGTGCAGATATACATTATATTCTTATACACCACAGATCTACTATCTAACCCAGACAAGGACAACCGTGTCCAGATATACATTATATTCGTATATACCACAGATCCACTATCTAACCCAGACAAAGACAACTGTGTCCAGATATACATTATATTCTTATATACCACAGATGGCACCACTATCTATCCAGATATCTAATCTAACCCAGACATCTAACCTAGACAAGGACAACCGTGTCCAAGATATATTAATATATTCTGACAACCGTGTCCAGATATACATTATATTCGTATATACCACAGATCCACTATCTAACCCAGACAAGGACAACCGTGTCGAGATATACATTATATTCTGATATACCACAGATCCACTGTCTAACCCAGACAAGGACAACCGTGTCCAGATATACATTATATTCTTATATACCACAGATACTGACAGATCTACTATCTAACCTAGACAAGGACAACCGTGACCAGATATACATTATATTCTTATACACCACAGATACTGGCAGATCTACTATCTAACCCAGAAAAGGACAGCCGTGTCCAGATATACATTATATTCTTATATACCACAGATACTGACAGATCTACTATCTAACCTAGACAAGGACAGCCGTGTCCAGATATACAATATATTCTTAGAAAACACAGACACTCCGGTAGATCCACTATCACGCGAAAACGAACATCAATGCTTACTATAGTCAAGCACGGGGTATTTCCGGAATTTCCAGAGCACATGTATTAAGAATAAATGCAATTTCTGACACAAGACAGGACACCAAAGCACGGACATATATGATACCTTTACTTACAACAGTCATGCTGACTATACTGCTATCGAACACAAGCCAGAACACAAATGAACACTCACGCTCGACATGACAAGTCTGCAGCTCCAGGGACAGCCAGGTAACGATTGTTGTCTCGCAAACGTAGAGCGTGCGGTATCTGTTGACATTAAGCGATAAACAGATGCAAATGACAAGCTGTGGCGTGTGGTTTATCCTCATTGGTGGTTGGCGGAATAGGGGCTTGGGGGAGGGGCCAATGGTGAAGGCGGATGGGGAAGTGGGTAGAGGTGTGGAGAGATGTGGAAGCGGGGAAGGTGGAAATAGAGAGAAAAGGGGAGAGGAGAGATTGTCCGTTTGTTTGTTGCTTAACGCTGCACTCTGCATTATTCCAGCTCTATGGCGGCGGTCTGTAAACAATCGAATTTGGACGGGACAATCCAGTGATCTTCAGAATTGATCTTCAGCAACCCACGCTTGTCGTAAAAGGCGGTCAACTGATCATCATGAGCATCGATCTACGCAATTGGGATACGATGATATGTGTCAACCAAGTCAGCGAGCCTGACCACCCGATCCCGTTAGTCGCTTCTTACGTTACGACAAGCATGGGTTGCTGAAGAACAATTCTAACCCGGATCTTCACGGGTCAGATGAAGAGATGGAGAAGAGAGTGGTTAGGGGAGGTGGGAGACACGGGATTTAGCTGTTTAAGTGAGTGAGCAGAAGAATGAGTGGAAGTTTTGAATGAGTGAGATGACAGCACCCTGCTTCAACTTACCCGCGGTCGACGCGACGTTACTCTTTAGCGTTTAGCTGAGGTTAATCAATACATCCATATGCTGTTTTGCTAAAGCTTCTAACTTCTAACTAAGAATGAGTGGAAGTTGCGAGTGAGTGAGGTAACAGCAAATGCAACTGCTTCAACTTACCCGCGGTCGACGCAACGTTACACTATAGCGTTTTGCTGAGGTTAATGAATACATTCATATACTGTTTTGCTAAGGCTCAAAAGATAATATGTCAACTTACCCGCAATCGACGCAACGTTTCTCTATAGCGTTTTGCTGAGGTTAATCAATACATTCATACACTGTTTTGTAAGGCTCCTAACTTCAAAAGGTAATACAAAATAGCCAAAGACAATATTGTGTACTTACGTGTTTAACGTAAGAAAGACCGTGTAACGTACCACACAGCTGAGGGTTCAGTTTCGTCATCCTTTAAAGAACGCTTTGACGAACATTGCATCCTGGGTCAAGGCATTGTGTTTGACAGATGACAATATCTCCAGATGTACTGACTGACATCTTTCGATCTGTTTTAGCAATTCGAAAACGCCTGCAGTCCTGCCTATCAGGCGTGAAACATCAAGTCACAGTTTAAATACATTCAATGGTTACATAGCCGCTGTCAACGGACGTTTGAATGGTAGTTGTTGGGGGCTCTTCTCATCAGTGAACATTTCGGCCACCGTGACGCTCAGAGCAAATATAGGTGCTCACATTCAAGTATGGTTCAGCAAGGTTAGGATCAAGCTTTCACTGTCCGCCTCCGTGGTGTAGTGGTTAGAGCGTCTGCCCGGAGAGCGGAAGGTCGCGGGTTCGATCCCCGACCGCGTCATACCAAAAGACGTTAAAACATGGTACTTGTTGGTCCCTGCCTGGCGCTCGGCATTAATGGGTACAAGGACTGGTCGGCTCGGAGTCAGTATAATGTGTCAGAGTGGGATATTCATGCTTCACTGCGGCATGGTATCTCAGTGGGCAAGCACTATAAAACCAGCTGAAGTCGAAACCCCATCCCCAACCCCCCAACCCTGGATCCGCCACTGCACTGAATTGTTCTGTCTGACGATCTGCTGCGTTAAGGAACCTATTTAAAACAGTAATGTATTGTACTGTGAAGCATTTGTCGGAGGTCATCTCAATTTTCTATACACATTTTTAAAAATCTTTAATCCTCGCAAAGACACGAGGGCCTGTGGGTATGAGTGCGCATGTTACTATATTTAGATACTTTCTGGGTCAAGGTGATCTGAAAGTTTCTAACGTACTCTATATACATTTTTAAAAATCTTTAATCCTCGCAAAGACACGAGGGCCTGTGCTTATACCCTCTATTGAATCTTACAGATATAGTGTAGTTGAGCTTCAGCTTTGCATAATCTAACCATTTTACACTGTCTTATAACATAACTCGAACAATTTTTTAGTTACATATTGTGTATAATTTAAAAGGTGTCTGTTCAGTAATCATAGCTTGGGTTCAAAAATAAAAATAAATAAGTGCAGTATTGTCTATGATCACGTACATGATGGAAAATAAAAATACCCCGTTACATAAGCACATGTGTAAATATTTGCCGGGTATATATAACAGGGCGATATCACATGGCATATACGAGAACAAAAACATAGGACATGTCATATTAGACCCGTCATATAGGACCGACCGGACATTAAATGAAAGCATTATAATCTCTGCTCTTATCATAATCATATTAATCTCTTTGAAATGGTGATAATACCGCGTAATCTCATCTTTTATTATTGTTATTTTATTTTTCATTTTTTATTAATTTAATTTATTGGGGGGGGGTGTTTGTTTGGATGTTTATTAGGGGGGTGCGTTGTGTTTGTTGTTTTGATTTAGAATTGTTTGTTTTTTTCGAGGGTTTTATTAGTGAGGGGGGGGGGGGGTATTATAACAACAGATGGTTGAGTATCTGATTCATTTCAAAAGTTCTGTCTGTGTGCACGACCTTGGGTCATGCGTACTTTACTAATAGTTAAGCAACATCTTATTAATCACAGCAAAATAGTGATATTTAACCGCGTGTCTGGATAGGGGTGGCTTTTTAACATGTTGCCTGCGTGCACGACAAAATCATTCGGGCGGCAATACACATTTCTAACATTTAACATTACTGCATGATATGCTGGAGTTTCTGGAGCTACTGGTTCATGACCCTATCAGTGTTGAAAGGAAAGGCGCTGAAGCATGCCACTCACCTTAATCCTGTTCATCTAGACGGAAACACTGTCATCAGATATTGTACATTCAACGTCTGTATCGACCTCATCCGTATCCAAATATATGACGACTGATTGTACTGTTGTGCTTTGGAGGTCGTCTTTCCGACAGTGGGGCGGTTGGGTAGCCTAGTGGTTAAAGTGTTCGCTCGTCACGCTGAAGATCCGGGTTCGATTGTACCATGTGTGAAGCCCATTTCTGGTGTCCCCCGCCGTGATATTGTTGGAATATTGCTAAAAGCGGCGTAAAACCATACTCACTCACCCTTTCTGCCAATATTGTTACTCAATTATCTCAACACGGTCGAAACATTCTGTCACAAAGCGCGCCATTTTCCGTCGACTATCCCTTTAACCTCTTTCAGCTTGAAATAAACATTATAATTTTTCTTCCTTTATACTTGTTGTGTCCCCAAATAAGATCAAATGTGTTAAGATCACCGTGATGTGGTGTATCATCTTTCCTTGATGCTGATGTTGGTCATATCTCCCTGGATCTATATATAACTATGGCAAGGGGAGGGAGATGGGATTCATTACAAAGTCAGATTGGTCAATGGGTTAGAATTGCTCTTCAGTAATCCATGGATGTTGTAAGAGGCGACTAACGGGATCGGGTGGTCAGGCTCGCTGACTTGGTTGACACATGTCATCGTATCCCAGTTGCGTAGATCGATGCTCATGATGCTGATCACTGGATTGTCTGGTCCAGAGTATGTACAGACCGCCGCCATATAGCTGGAATATTGCTGAGTGCGGCGTTAAACAACAAACCAACCAACAGATTGGTCAGACATTGCTGGAATCAGCTGTCTTCTACCGCATTCCGTGAAGAGACAGCCATCATTTGTTTTCGATCTAACTACCAGATCAAATTCTAGATGTGATCCACCATGCAATGCGACAAGTCCCTCCACTTTCCCAATGGGTATCTTAGGTCTTTGATAAGGTTAATTCACACGTGAAGATCCGGGTTAGAATTGGTCTTCAGAAACCCATGCTTGTCGTAAGAGGCGACTAACGTGATCGGGTGGTCAGGCTCGCTGACTTATGATATCGTATCCCAATGGGTGCCGAGTTTTTTTTCAGGCGCACATTTTCATACGCTTTGAAAAGTGAACGTTGTGCGAGAATTGCTCTCGCGTGGTCCTCGATCTACGTAAGGCTATAAAATTACACAGAAATGTAGAATATCAAATTTCCTATCCGTTGGTAAAAATATAAGTGCAACTACCTTGGCGGTTTGAGAAATAGACCTTGCTAAATGTTGTCCAAATTTTTGTTATGCGTTAAAAAGCAGTAAATTTCTCCGCTTTTTATCGCGCACCGATAAAAGCACTGTGCTACGAATTTTTTAATGGGACATCTTTACGGAAAGTGTGAGCGAAGAAAATACAGCCTGATATCTGAACGACATAAGTGTATATGAATTGGGTTTATGTGCTTGTGCATAACGTTATACGCTCAACATTAAAAATGACTCGCAATAAATGTCAAAAATGTATTTTCTTCTATGACGTCAAACGACGACAGAGAGGTCATACACGTATAATGATAAGGGGGGGATAACTCCGTTATGCGTAACACTAGGTCAATGTAACTCAGATCACTTGGAGAGAATTTGTTGTGGATACGGACGCTATATTTTCGTTATTTTATATTCATGGTGAACCACACTATTCCAATTCAAAGTTCCCCAATGTGAACGGATGCACTTTGGTAGTTTCACAATTTATAAGAAAAGATGACAACGTATCACATGTGAAAGCACGTAATAGCGATTTGAATGGCCCTATCCGATATATAAGTTAGTTCTTAGATTCCCATATTCTCCCGTTTGTGTAGATGTAATTTGACTAATTTTGCATCGTTATTACCAGAGTACTAGTCATATCTTCAAATGTAACGACATTGCTGAAAATAATACAACATTTTAGTTGACGTCATCGCTTGTTTTATGCATTTTGCGACGTCAGAAAAAGACGACATTGGTATGCTGATTAGTATATATCTCACCTAATTTCCATTAATTGTATCAAAGGTCTAGACTTCTATGTCAGAATTTTACACTCTTTAGACAAAACATAAAATGACTGATTTTTCCATTTAAATAGTGTCCTGAATA